AGCATTCCCACATTCCAACAGACAGGAAGGTATTTTAAAAACCCATAACCCACCGTTCTGCTGCCTGCATGTATCAACTATAAAGTTGGGTTGCCTTAGTTACCAGCAGTAATTACAGATGTCTTTGTAGATTATGTGAAAGAATAAAAGCCTTCCTCAGAGATAAACTGTCCCCTGGCAAGATTATTGCCGTGCAGAGAGCTGGTAAACCCCAGGAACAAAAATCCCAGCTCTGCCAAATCCAATTCCAACCCTGGCTTTATGGGAGCCAGGAGTTCACCCTGAAGGAAGGGTAGATCTCAAATGCACTCTCCTTCAGAGCAGGGAAGGACAAGCTTCTGCTCGTGTTTCTGGAAGAACAGGAGCTGGGCTCAGCTCCCAACCCAACGGGGCACCACAGAGGTCCTGCTCTACCAGGCTCCCACACTGGAGAGGTGATGGGACTCCAGACACGTCCAGCCCAGCCTCATCCCACTGTACATCACTGGGGGGGGTCTCTGGGAGCTGCTCTAATCTCCTGCCACAGCAGCACAGGCTGAGTTCTGCTCTCCTGGTTGTCCCCCAACACCTCGGAGCTTCGGCACCACAAGCTCGGCCAAAGACTCAGCTGGGCTCAGCAACCTGCCCTCCCACAGCACAGGCAATCCACCATCTCCACAGGGGCTTCATATCCTTATATTAACTTAAAAATGACTGCTAACTGTAAATTTTCTAAGCCTGTGGAGCTTCTTTGTGGTATATGTTACAATCATCACCATAAAATGTTAATCTCCAGTTTCTGAGAGGTTTGACATCGCTCTGATCTAAAAACGTGACAGAAGCCCAATAGCAGATAGCAGTGTTCAAAATTTAAATGCCTCTACCAAGATAAATGGAGACCAAAATATTCATTTAGTCTTAGCAAAAGGAAAAAATCATTTTAGCTTAACTGGCCTTATTCTCTGCTTGGAATCAATGGCCAAAATCACAGCACACATACATTATGTCCAGTAGTTTTATTCCTTGAGTCAGGCAGACACAGTGAGAAAAATATGTCAGTGTAACAGCATAGTTATAAAAATCTCAATTTCTGAAACTGTCTTTAGGTCTGTACAAAGACAGTAAAAAAAATGTGACCGAAGGAATTCACACACTGAGCAGGCTTTAGAGAGGATTTCAGAGAAATGCATTATCATTAAAACATATGGGAGGCAGCAAAATGGAAAGGATTATTTTTCTTTTAATAGCAATATTATTTTCCTATCTTGTTGAATTTTTTCGGTGCCTACATCAACAGGGGGACATTAGCTCAGAAAACCACACAATTGGCAAGGAGCAGATCCCCAAAAGGATTTTCATATCAAAGGAGACCTCAGGGGAAAAGCAGACTTTGGGAACTACTGAGAAGAAAAGTCTTTGCTGACAGTAATGGAAACAACACAAAATAACTCAAATATGACAATACCATTTGCTTTCAAAGGCAAATATTGTGCTTCTCAAACAAATAACACAAACACACTACCTCCACTCAAATATAAAAATACAGGTGTTTTAGTGTTTTAACAAAAACAAAAATTAACATTCCAGGGAGGTTTTTTCTGTTCAAACTCAAACACATCTTGCAAATTCAGAACCAGAACATCATGCCTGACCATTGCCTTGCACAATCTCTCCATAAAATGAAAACCCCTATCAGCACAGCAAAAGAAAACCAGGATTCTGAAATATTTCACTGCCAAATGTGAATATTTCAGGTTAAATCCCCCTTGCCCCCAGCTGCCTCTGCCCGTGTGCAACGACATGGGCACATGATACCACTGAACAACCTGGATGTGCAAGTTAACAGGATATTTGAGTCCTGGCAGGCCCGGGACAAGAGTCAGAGGTGATATGAGCACCATCAACCTGTTCCTCACCGACTACAAAAATGGAAAACGTGGTAATATTAAAAAACCAGGGGGAATTCTGCCATCACAAAAGTCACAGAGTGTAAAACGTGAGGACTAATCTGCCTGACACAGATCTGAGTCGAAATGAGGGGCAAAAGCACAGGAACGAGCACAGACCCAGCCCGGGGTGCTCGCCCACCGAGGTCATTTTTGAACACCCCCTCCCAGGACTTGCCCCGAGCAGGCACAGCAGTTTCAGTACAGCCCCACACAACGTGCCCTTTCCAAGCACAAAGCAGGTGAATATTTCCAGCTTTCCTTGCCAAGAGTCAAACCCCACACCATTACTGCCTGTGACCAGTTCAGGACCGCCTCCCTCTTCCCCAAAACTAGAAATGCAAGCAGCAATTTGGGTAATCATTCCTCACTTCCAGAGGCAGAGAACGTGCTGATGGGGACAGTCCTTCGTGCCCTAAAAACAGATGGTCTGCAAAAACAGGATAAGGCAAAATAATCCAGGTACTTTCCCGGTGACTTTTTCACTGCTGTATTCCCAGCAAAAGGCCTTCAGTCAAAAGGAGACCATTGCTGGTAACCATCAAAAAAAAAAGGTAATAAGCAACAGTGCCAAGGATGATCCCAGCCTGGGGTATCAAAACAGCTCTGCTCCACTTCCTCAAACACAGACTCACTCATATAAATAAAGAAAAAAAAGGAAGGAAATCCCATTCCACGAGCTGGCATCTAGCATGACAAACTAAGATTTCAACACACTTAAAGTAACTGATATCTGGATTAATATCCAGAGGTGGCTGTTCACACCCCTAGAGGAAGCAGAAGCCCCACAACGTAATTTAAAGGGAAACATGGCAGGATGAAAGTTTTGTTTTGCACATTATATACACAAACAATTGCATCACTTGAGTCACAGAAGGGTAGAAAGCTGCCCTTTGGAGCTTGGAAAACAACTCCCACAGGCTGCTGTGAATGTTTTGCCTCAATAGAAGGAAAATTTCCAGAATTTGGGGGTTGACTCTAACTTAATTTTTTCAATGCATCATATTTAAACAAAACTTCTGTCAAGCACTGACGATCAGTCCTACCGGCAGGTCAAGCCCCCTCGCTATTCCCCCACTCACTGCAAGGTCACCAGCACAAAAGGAAGCACTCAGCATATCCTGTTTTTAAAAAAATATTGCAAAAAAAACCCCCCAAACAGGCTTAACGTTTAGTTTGAAGCAGCACAAGAAGCTGCCAAAGGCACCTGACAGAGGGGAAGAACAAGGGCAGACCTGAAACACTGAACGTCTCTCTGGATCCGTGAGGTCCCTGAGCAGCAATAACATCCTTTATGGGTTCAGCGGGCATTAGGTCGACTGTGTAAACACTTCTGCAGATTTTGGAGCAGAATATCTGCCTTGCTGGAAATAAAGTCTACATGGCCCAGCTACCGTGGGAGGGAGCCGGGGGATTCCCTGCGCTGACCCAACACCCGGCAGGGCACGGCTTCCACACACGCAGGCAAGAAAACCGACCCCCAAAGGCTTCGCGGACGTTACAGATTTTCATTCATGACTCAAAAAAGCAGCAAATATCAGCGGGTCCGTCTTCGGCGGAATGCCGAAGTCGGCTGTCCGAGCTTCCAGCCACAAGCAGGGCAGACACAGACCCGGCGTTTCGCGAGGCACGGCGGCCGCTCACCCCCCTGCCCGGCATCCCACCCTCCTGCTCGGCATCCCACCCCCCTGCTCGGCACCTCCATTTTAGCAAACCCTCCCCCCCCGCGCCGGGACCTGCTTCCCTCACCTCCTTAATTCGCACCCGAAACACATCCCACGGAAACCCCTCCGCTGCCTCGCTGCGGGCACACGGGGCGACACCGCCTGTCACCATGACATTGCAACATCCAGGAATAGCTCGGCGGGCGCCCATCGCAGGCGGCATTCCTGCAAGCGGGAAGCAGGGGCGGGGGGGAGGAAATCCCCTCCGGCCGCGTCCCGCGCAGCGCTCCCCACACCCCGCGGAAGGTGCGCTCCGGGTGCATCCCCATCCCTATCCCCATCCCCATCCCCGGGCGCGCACAAAGGGCCGGCGGTACCCACCTCTCGTCCTCCATGGTGCGGGGCGGCGGCGGGGCCGGCTCAGCGCCCCGGGCCCGGCATGGCTGCGAGCAGAGCCCCCGCCCCGGGCCGCTTCCTGCGGGAGGGAGCGGAGCGCTGCGAGCCGGGCGCGCCCCGCCGCCCGCACCGCACCGACTGCGGCCCCGCCACCGCCTCCTCCCGCAGCCCCCTCCCTCCTCCTTCCCTCCCTCCCTCCCTCCCCCGGCGGGGCTTGCGAGCGTCTCCGGGCAACGGCGGCGCCGCCCCGCACCGCCCCGAGCCGGCCCCGCACCGCCCCGCACCGGAGCAGCGGAGCAGCCCCCGCGCCGCTGGCGGAGGGGCGAGCGGGGCGCCCCAAAATCGCCTCAGTGCCCGCGATGTGCGGGGCCGGAGGAAAAGTTTCAGCGGCTGAGCAGCCCCAGGGCCCGCACGGGGCAGCGCGGGAGAGGAGCGCTGGGCACCGGCACCTTCTCCAGGAAGGACAGGGTGCCAGCCCCGACAAGTGTCCCCACAGCTTCCAGTTCCCCAGTTTATCAAAACCTCACAGTCCTTTGTGCAAATCTAGCAGGCCAAATAACGCCCTGCACAGGCAATAAGGGTCCTTCTGAACTGCAGGTGCTGTTTAGCCTAAAGCCCTGAACTAAATCACATTTGCCCTCCTTATTACAATTGGTACTTGGTGCAGAGGCTTTGACTTGAATCTTTTTTCCCCTCTCAGTTTATTAAGAGAATTTTTCAGTTGTTCTCTGTAGCAGTGAGGCCCTAGAGGTTAATTGTAATAGAGACAAGAAACAGTTGCTTTCTTCGTTACTTTTCCATTCACAAAATGTTTTCATGCAAAAGAAAGAGGTAAGTATCAAGAGATTTCTCTTGCAAGATGCCATTTCATCTCTTTTGTAAATAAAATTACCTTCCTCCTCTATGTTTCTCCTAAGCCATGTCCTCAGCCTAACTTTCATACATCTTTTAAAATGTATCAGCAGTGATGGTTGAACAGATGCAATTGCAGCTTCCATAGGAGGTTTTCAAAGACAGTCATCACCCTCATTCTTCAGATAAGAAAACTTAACACATCTGAAACTTTAGGGACATCATCAAAGTCACGTGGGGGATGGAGACACCAGAGTCCTGTTGTTTAAACACCGCTTGGCAGTCTCCCCATAGACAGAAAAAATACAGATAAAGCCAAGAAGTCAAACCTCACACAGGATTCGGGCAAAATTCCTTCATTTTCACATCAGAATCCTGTTAAGCTATCATTTTAACACACCCAAATCCTCAAGGACTTCCCAGTGTCCGGCCTTACACACCTGATGCACAACATGCAAAACTGCAAGATACAAGCTCAAACTAGAAGAAAAAGAACTATACTAAAAATAGTAGAATTTACCTCAAAAATGAGGGCCAAAGCTTGTTTCCATTGAGTAAGTCCCTCAGTAACCATAAAAAGTCCAGAGACAAGAGCAGGTCCTGAAATTGCTGCAAAGTGCCTGTGTATTTTTATTAACACATAGTTTTTCAGTAACAAAATATTAAGCTTTTACCATAAAAATCTACATCTCACTCCGGTCAGCATGGGAGTTAAGAACCAAAATTGAACCAAAACAGAAATACTTTCTTATGTGCACTGACCCACTGGTTGTGTACCACTGGATTCTACAAATCCTGACAGCAACCACAGAAAGGTAAATCCCACTGACAGACAAGAGCAAACCAGTAAATAGTCCCTGCTGGAATGGGACAAAAACATGTCCAAGTAATCATCAGAGATTATCTTTAGAGCAGCCTTGCAAAATAATCAGGACTGGGTAACAACCTCAAGACAGAAACCTCTTGCTTGTTTTTAAGTGCAAAGATTGGTCTCCTGAAAAAGCATCCAGCTAAAAGGAATAAGTAACACCTGATGGGTGGAATTTTTCCAGCCTCTTTCTAAAATTCCTAGTCCCAAGTAGTCCTAAATTCCTCCTACATCTAATCTACCTTCAGTCACTGACAACCATATAACTGCTGCTCAGAGCAGAAAGATCCACAGAGCTCCTGTTCCAGCCAGTCCCACCATCCCTTGGCCCTATAAAACCTTTCCAGATTCCTGCAACAATCTTCAGACCTACAGTGGAAGACCAAACCCCTCAACTCCAACGAACCACAGGGAGAGGACATCAAAGCATTGCCAGTGTCCCCATGGCAGCAAGGAATTTCTTCAATAAAAATGGCAGGAAGGGAGGGAATAAAAACAATTCCTGCCAGTCTGATCCAAAACTACCTACTGGCCTTAAGTCCAGCAGCTGGTTTAGCCCTGAGGTTGTAAGAAAAGGACATTGAGTACTGACAAGAATTTAATTCTGTGAAGAGCCCCAATACATTTGGAAAACATCCTGCCAATCTCCACAGCTTCTGCAGAATCCAAACCTCATCAAGGTGGGAAAAACCCTTCCCAGCTCTGCAAGGCCAAGTGCAAGAGCCCTGCACCACAGGGTCATGTGGATTAACCACAACACAAACAATGATTTGGGAACCCCTCGCTTCACTGTTCATACCTGTTTCCAGGTATATACCAATACACAGGTTCCACAGGTCCACATCATAAGCAATTTCCTATCTTTAGCATCTCTCCTGCTTAGCTGCATAATCCCCTCCACCAAATTATTAACCAGCTTTCTTGGAAAAAAAAAATATATGGTTTTGGTATTGAAGAGCTGGGAAAGGTGTACATAAAACACTGCATTCATGGAAGCTTCCAAAGTTGCATCTTCCCAGCCTAAATTATTTTTCAATTTGTTGGTTTTATTAATGTATATATATTTATCTTTGAGTGACCAAGCTGATCTGACCCTGAAGCTGGTCCTGTTTTAAGGGGTGTTTGAACCAGATCATCTCCAGGAAGTCCCCTCCAACTAAACTTATTTTGTCATTCTAATTAGGTATTCATTCAGAGAGATCTGCACTTAGACCATGTGTTTTCTGGGAAGAGGTTCATTAAGGAAATTAATATAAGAAAAGCAATGTAAGGTGTCTTGAAATATCTGCTTTGGTATCTCCTGGGTGAACTGAAGTCACTCAGAGGTGGTGCTCAGGCACTGCCCTGGCTCCCAAAGGACCAGGAGAGAAGTCCTGAAGGCACCTGCTGCCCAACCAGTGCTCGAATTCAGAGCAGGCTCTCACATAACAACCAAAACAGCAGCTAAAATTTACCTACTGCAGCAACTCCCGGGGATTCAGGTTATCACCAGGCTCAAAAGGAAGCTCTAGAGGAGACCTTCTCGGTAAGGACCTTCCGAGAGCTAGCATCAGTGATGATCTGGCAGCTGAAGCAGCAGGAGACTCCCGAAGCACTGGTTTCTAAATGTGGTTCACAGAGCAGAGGGCTGGAGCACCTCCCCAGCACCGTCCCCTTGGGATCGCTCCCCAGGCGGGGATGCTGCAGGAGCCACCGGCACCTCCAGAGGAGCTCCGGACTGTTGCCCTCTGCTGGTGCACGTCCCCTTCCCACACTCCCGCCTGCCACTCCTACAAAAATAGTAGTTTTATTCCAACAGCTTCATAATAAACCACCTTTAGAGTAAAAAACCCCTGCTCATCTTCACCAAAAAAAGCAGGAACCCACCAGCTGTAAACCTCCTTCCTGCTGCTCCTCTGACTCTTCCCTGCAGCCTAAGCCACGGATGTCACCCGCAGTCACCTGTGGCAGAGGCACAGACTTCCTGCCCTGCAGTCATATTATGTGTTTATCAGAAACCCGCAGCAAGGTTTGCTGGTAGATTTTATCGTTCAGAATGGAGCGCTCAAAAGGGAAAAAAAAAAAAAAACAGCATTCAGGAAGAAAGCTGTAAAAACAACTGTTGTGGGTGCTGGAGCAAAGGCAAAGGCTGGTATTCAGGTGCCTAAATATCAGCAAGTTTCTCTGCCTCTCCTCAGAGTTTGTCTCTCTACTGATGTGTACAGTTCTCACCACAGGCTGAACATGAGGACTTGAGAAAAAGTTTAGGCTATGGTCTAAAAAGCGGGATTTTTTTTCCCCTTTTTTTTTTTTTTTTGTGTAAGATATCATTTTAATGTGATTCTTTGTCTTTAAAACATAACCTTTAATTCTTCCACTACTACCTTCTGTAATAAGGGGAAATTGCCCATATGCTTCATGAAGATGTATGGCTTAATTAACATTTGTATCTTTTAACTCAGAGACACCAGCATAAACAAACCTGTTCTCATTCAGGATCTCACAACCATAACCCAAGTCTCTTTACTATTATTCCCTGTACACTCATTGCCTCGCTCTCTTCTTGAAATTTTTTTTTAAATATTTGATTTCTTGTTCTTTGCAAAAGCCAAGAAACACAGTCCACCACCACTGTGTGGTAACACAACCTGCTGCAACACCAGCACAAATCATGCACCTGTCACACACAAACATTTAGGGAAGCTTGTTTCTGCAGGCACATTATTTTACCTGAACAGCCAAAAGCTGTCTCAGGCAGCATGTCTTCCCCACAGGTAACAGATTCCCTTCATTATCCTGTTCGGTATTTTCTGGACAAACCCCTTTTTCTGCCCAATCTGCATAGCATGTTCAGAGTGGGAACTGTATGGAAAGGGCTCAGCTGGGGTTTCTGTTCACTTACTGGACTTTTGTGGTGTGCTTTTCAGGGCTCAGCTTTCCCATCCTCTCATCCAGGCAGAAGTGCACCCTGTGAGGGAGGAAGAAAACACACTTTGAGAAGGCATCAGGGTGCATGTGGCATCAGCTCATTGCAGCACTTTTGGAACAGAGCAGCACCAGCAATGAAACAAGCCCAGCTCCTCCTTCCCAAGGTGATTGTTTCTCAGCTCCCTCTCATCTGACTCCCCAACACACCGAAAATGAGAGCTCCCCGTTGCCACCAGCTGCACATAAACCCATGGCAACATTTCCAAAACACACGTGCTGCTGATTCATCACCAAGCTCGTGCCTCAAAGAAGCTGTAAGAGTCAAATTGACAGTGCAGAGTGGAAGCCCAGACTCGAGCTGGTGCCGGGTGAGGAAAAGCAAACTCCCCACACAGCACCTAAATGACGTAATTAGAGGAAGATAATTCACCCACTTTTAGGACTGCAGGAAATAACAGACAGGTGGGCGTAAAGGGAAAGGCACAGCGATGCACACCAGGTCACCGACTGAACAGGCTGGAACTCCTCGTGCTCCTGGGGATCTCTCTTTTCCAGGATGTATCTCCATGAAAATACCAGTAGAAAGCTGGCACTCCTCTTGCAGAACACACTTCGCTGCACACGCTGTGCAAGAGGCACCGACCACAACCACCCTGCAGTCCTGCAGTGATCTCAGGAGAGAAATCCTGAATTTGCCATCAGGATCCAAAGGAGCTCTCTCCAGTAAAGGGAGCATCATTATTCCAGCAGTGGTGGACAGAAAACAATTAAACAAGCCCAAATGAAGTCCTACAGTGAAGGACTTTGGCCAAATTTGTTACCCAGTAAACTTAATAGATTACTAAAATCTGAAGAGGTACCAGATAACCACAAGGAGGGAAGTGGGAATTTAGCTTTAGAGATCCTTTACAACACTGCCACAGGAACAACCAACAGAGCCAGAAAACAGAAGACATCCTACTGAGGAGGGAGGGGACCTGGAGGATGAAATAGGAGTAAACTCTTTCAAAACACAGCTGATAGCGCTGTGCTTGTATACAATAAGCAGGTAAGCACAGCCTCCCCCCAGGGCCGTGCCCTGCCCATGCTGCAATCTGTTCATCAGGGTGTGTGGTTGGGAGAGGAGGCTGCCCACTGGAGCTGTGTCAGTGTGCAGCAAAGAAAACAAGATTATTGATCCACAGAGAACGAGCAAAAAGCACGTGAACCTCCAATCCCAAACACCACTCGTGCATTTTATCCAGCATTGCTTTAATCCAAATCCCCGCTGGAAACAGGGACAGGACTCCTGATCTTTCTTCTCCCCAGTCAGTGCCTGCAGTGACTACACTCATCCTTCCTTCCCCCCCGGGAGGTTTTGTAGAAAGCAAATTTTCTCACAGAATAGAAAAACTCCATTACAAAGCTACAAAAAGCAACAAAAGCTACAGAAATGACAGAAGAGACTGAGATGATATTCATCTTTTACGTTGACTAGATTACAGCCTAACAGTGTGTTTTCAGATGTGTAGCTTCGCATGTCTTTCACTTCAATGAGCATCCCCGGGAGAGAGGGGCTTCCGTGAGACAAACCAGTTGGCAATTCCCTGCTACAAAGTAGCATTTGAAAAAATGAAGTATTTTCAGATTTGTCAGCTCGTTCTGCTGCTAAGGAATTTTTCTGCAATGTTAATCAGTGATTTGTACTTCGATGGTGGTGAGCAAATGTGCATCTTGACACATTTCCAGTCAGAAAAGTAATCCCTTTCTAAATTGGCATCGAATCCTTACTGCATTACTCATGAAAAGAGATATTTTTAGCAGTTTGATGAATATATGTACCAAAATTGCACATAGCTCAACACAGTCCAGGTTTTTTTTCTTTTTTTTAAGAGCTGTTCTTTCAGATCTGTGTTATTTTCCACTTGCAAAAGCATTTAGGAATGAGACTGTCCGCATCAGGCTAAGAGGGTCGATATCCAGATGCCTCAGACAGATGGCATTATTAGTCTGCCTGGGCTTGACATCTCGTTTTCAAAGTTAAGGAGCTTTGCTTACTTGGATGGCTGACAATCTGAGAATAGCCCCAGCTCTAAGCCCCACGTTTACACCAACAGCAACAGGCAACGCTGCAGCTTTGCCTAACAGATTTGGAGAAAATAAAGGTACACCAAGATTAACCACACTGAGAACATACTTGAAAAAATAGTCTTTAGGATTCCTACTGGCAAAGGACAAACCATGGACAGAGAACTGAACTTGAATTTTATTTCTTATGCTGGCTGTTGTTTTGGTTTTTTTTCTTTTGCTACTTTCTTTCTTTTTGAACTGTTCCATCTTTTTAGCTGTTCAGGTTATTGAGTAGATAGAGCTATAGGAAACAAAAAAAATCTGAAGTATCTCTTCTGCACTGAACTACAGCTTTACAGCTCTTGTTCTTTCAGTGTTCCCACCACCCATTTTCCCGGTAAGATGTTTTTAAGGGGAATACAGATATGATTAAAACACTCTGAGAACAACACAAACAAGAGGTTATCAGTTCAAAAACTACTATTCCCTCCCATTTATATGTAACAGAAACTGTTAAGAGTTCTGGGAGCAGAGAAGGTAAAAAGACTAGGATTTGTCAAAGGAATTTCCAGGAGGAAAGCACCCAAACTCCATCAGCCCCTTTACAAGCCCTAGTCACAGAGGTAAAGGATAGAAAATTCCTAAGGAAAAACAGCAGAGAGACTTTCAGCCTGTTATGAGAAATACACATCTGACACTCATCAACAGCAATACTTACATTACAGCACAAATAAATACTCATTAAGGTAGGTGGAAGTAGAGGTAATGTCTGTGTGTACACACACACATGCCAGAAATAATAGAGTAGTAACACTTCAATAGACCTAAAAAATGCCCATCAACAAAAGCAAATAGTGCTTGTCCAGGCTGGCTCAGATCTCCCTGTGGTGTGCTTGCATCGTGAAATACATTTTCAAGTGAAGCAGGGATACAACTGTTTTATTCATATTAGAAATACAAAAATAACAAGCAGAAAACTCATCCTTGAGGGATGCATACACCAGATCACAGAATCAATTAAGCAAAACATGTTAAATAAGTCATTGTTTTGTAAACCACGCCTCTGGCTAAGGTGAAAGACTGAAATTTGGGGTGTTACACTTTCTATCACCTAACATTAATCCAAGGTATTAATGCACAGACAGTTTGGCAAACGTACTGAAAATGCCTTCTTCCTCTAATTGCTCTGGAAGCCAAGGTCTGGAACAATGTAAACCACAGAAATGTGGTACCAACTGTTGATTATGTGATAAACACTAATCCGTAACAGCTACAACAGGACAGGCAATCCTAATCTAAAGGCTTGGCTAAACTGCCTTCTATCAGGAAACCAACCTTCTCCCCGACAAAACCCCGTTCTCACAGAGCACACGGTGCTCTGTTCGCTGCCTGCACGTCACAGGGGTGTCCTTCAGGTTATTTCTTTGAGATTAATTAACAATTTAAGCCAAGCTTTTGCATTTTTTGGAATGAACATTCTGAGGCACACAGAAAAAAGCAGACTGTTTTCAGACTTGAATGGGAGGTTGGGGTCCTCAGCACCGTTCCAGCTCAGACCCTTTCCAGCAGGAGTAGGAATGCCATTATTTTGGGACAACAGGATCAGCTGACAGGGCAGGATAATAAACCAGTGTTCTGATCTGCACCAGCCACTTAGGTCTTTTAATGCTAAATGAAAGCAAAATTTGCTTTATAGAAGGGATCTAAGTTGGGGGAGGGGGCAGCACACCATAAAGCATTTGAGAACTTTGAATTTTTAGACATCTTAAGTATTTCTGCTTCACAGGGTGTTAAGTACACGTTCAGGAAGTACCTGACAGAGTTCAGGCACCTCCTGTCAGTGCCCAGCTCTGCACACCCCCATCTCCTGCAGCTCTGGGCTCCTGTGAGCGGAGCTGAGAGCCCCAGAGCCAGTGCTGGAGCCTGAACTGCAGCTGCTCAACTCGCAGCTATTGCAACACCCAACACAAACCCCAAAGCTTGCTCAGCTCTGGAGGGCAGGGGCTGTCCACCCAAGCACACTACAGAGCCTGCAGGGCAAGACACAGCTTTTATTCTGCAAGTCTGTCACACTGTCAGTGACCCACAGAGATTTGCTGCCACCGAAGCTGTTCTAAAAATCACCTTTTCGTCACCTACTGTCAAACAAACACGTGGGAGATACTTCCACCGACTTGTGCAAGTGTCATTACATTATGTATGCAGGTGTTTCAGCATGTTTCTTTTTAATGCAGTAGAAGCAAGTGTTATAAAAGTGTGAGTTAGGCTAATTTTATTAGCCAAATAAAACGTACAAGTCATACAAGAAGTAGAATCAAGAACAAATTATACTCTGGAGTAGACACGAACACCCACTGCTATTAAAAAACTACATGTACATCACAACACAGTCTGAAAAGTTTGATGTGGGGAATTTCTTTTTGGTCATGCAGATTACAAAAATAAAAAGAACTTCTGTGTTTTAAGAAAACTACTGCACTTTTACTTTACTAAATGCTAGAAGTAAACCAGTTGCTCTCTATTCTATTTCTCACAGGTGACACCAGCACAACCCATTATTCGGTTCTGAACAGAAGGACATTAAATTATTAGATAATTTCAGACATAGGGACTTCAGAACTCAACTACAAACTAAGGGACAGCAAACTAAAGCTACTTTATTTCTATCTCCGTGACCATCCTAAAGCAACTGTGAAGTCACGAACTTTTACATGCCAGCTCCAACACCTCATTTCATCTCAGTTCTTCCCACACACCTCTGTGAAGACAAATCCCCCCCAGGGGGACAGAAAATCATTAAATACCTTTAAATAAATAAGCAAGGCTTTATCAACAAATCTGGTTACCAGGAACTGTGTTAGGAACAGCTCTGTTATTCAAAGGCAGTCTCTAAGTCACTGTGTCTTCAATGCTACCCAACACAGATTTGCATCTTTCTACACTCCAGCATCACCTGCAGTGTCAGTTCCTGCTCCAGAGAGACCCGAGGTCAGAGCAGAGCAAATGCCACTTACTCGAGACACCACAGAACACTGGCAAACAGGTGACAACCTTTTCAGGGAGAGACAAGGCATTCCCAAACACAGGTGCAATTTCTGGGATCAGCTCTCAGCAGACATGAGTCCTACAAGGACTATTGCACAGAGACAACCAAACAGCACATTGATCAGTACACGAGTTCCCAAACTGTCAGATTTCACACACAAAGTCACTCTTTTATAAAAAACCTACTCGTTTCTAGTATCAACATATTCTGCCACAGCACCTAACACCTGAAAATCCCATAAAGCTGTAGTTGGTGCACAAACCTTTACCTTCCCAAGTCAAACGACAAGCCACACCACAACAGTGAATTTAACCATTTCTCTCCAAACCAGGCTGCTCCTTGACAAGGTTAAGGCAACTCACCACTGCGAGGGACTAAATCAAACCCTCACAACAGAGGCTGACAAGCTTTTCGGACAGAAAAATTACAACACAGTTGCAAATGGCAAGTTATCTGGAACCTATTTATAAAAGCTAAGCTAAGCCAAAGGAACCAGTCCTGCTCTGAGAGCCATAAACTACCACAGTCAAGAGGAAACTCAGCTCTTGGTTTAAATCCTGATGATACCAAAAGGTTGTCCTGTTTATTAAAGCACAGGTCTTTAGGTTGATGCAGTTTCAACTTCTAACAGCAACAGAAAGACTCATTTCAATTAAAATTAGCACCAGATTCAATTGACAACAGACAGCAACAGTACCTTGGAATTCCCTGCGAAATCCTTCAGCCCACAAGCACAAAGCCCTAGACAGTTAACCTCCCACTGGGATCAGTGGGAATCATATGCCTAATATCTTGCATTTCTGGAGCAAAGCAAAAAGCAGGTTTTACGATGCAGTCCCATGAAGCATCAGCATAAATGTCTAAGTGCTCAGAAACCTGAAGTCAAAGCAACTTTGTACTTTCAGAATCCATGCCCCGTGTCATATATACTCTCACTCAAGCATATAAGGAATTCAAATCTTTTATTTGATATCCATAAACCCATAAACGTTGCTATTCTATATTTCTATGCAGGAAGGCAGTTTTCCCCTAAAACATTATGCTTTTTAATAAACAACAAACTTTTAATTCTATTGCGTGAAAGGGCTACAAATATACATTTGTTAATCAAGCAGACTACACAGATATTTTTTGCTTTACAACTGGCACCTATGTTGCTGGTACACTTGCTGGCTCAGTTCTCAGAGCACTTTGCCCACTTTGCCCACGGGCAACTGCAATTATTATTAAAAAAAATTACGTGCTGAGGCAGGTATTGCAAATTCATTCCTTTTTTTGTTTGTTTGTTTGTTTTCCCAGTCAGTACTCACAGAGCCCACCTTTATTCACGTGCAGATGTCACTGCACTCTACACCAGTCGATCTGGGGGCATAAAATGACTTTCAAAAGTCTGGTACAATTGTTAGCAAACCACTTTTGCTCCCCCTCGTCCCGGTTTTAAGGAAGCTACCATCCCGACAGCAGATGGAGCTGCCAGAATTCGCCGGGAAGTTTAAGGAAGGACAACAGTTCCGAGTGAAGTCTGTTAACCTGGTACTATGAAAACAAGTACGTGTTAAATAGAAGGGACAAATGTCGACCCTTTTTTCCCTGGAAGGAATCACACACAGGCAAATCCATAAGAGGACTTGAAAACTAAGCAATCGGAAATTCTGAACATTTTATATGAATGAAGCACATGCTTAACACAAACTATTTCTTCAAAACTACACAGTACATACGTTGATGGAAAAAAATTGACCAACCATGTCAGCACGTCAAACTGCCTTGTACAAGATGGTGGATGCACACAAACTAAGTGAGAACGAGTAATTTAAAAAACAGACCACATCCACGGATTAGTACTTCAAAAATTTCTCTGTCAAGTGTCTGAAAGCCACTAGCAAAAAAGTCAGTTAGGACCTTTACTGGCAACAAAATATTTACTCTAAGTACACAGAGGTTTTTAAAGCAGAAGAACGCTTGCTTCAAACCTAGAAAAGCCTGAAAACCGTACGGAATTGATCCTAGGAAAAAAAATTAGACGTGTAAAAGTCAATGAACACAATGATTTATTTAAAAAATAAAAAACGTAAAAACCATTTTTTTTTCCTCCTTTACAGAAATGTTAAAAGTCAGTCATGGGATCCGAGTAGCTTTTGTAGAAAAAAACGTAGTAGCCAGGTATCCAGTCCATACAACAAAGGAAATTCCCCCCCATTCCTCCCCAGTTTTTACTCCAGATCAGCAAGACACTTCCCACCCCGCACCCTCCCCCCAAAAAAACAAATGAAAACAAGACATTTTTCGTTGCTAGTATAAAAACGACCAAGGTCCAAGTAATAATAAAAAAATAGAGTCCATCAATGACTGTAACACAAAGTATGTGTATGTGGGGCCCAGTCCATCTTCAGAGAGAACGAAGTGGCACAGGCAGCAGAGGCGACCCTCAGGGGGCATTTAGGAGCCGCTCCCACAGCAGGGAGGCATTTAAAAGGAGCTGCCGTTCGGCGGGTTGAGGGGAGAAACCATCGAGAAGCTGCCCCGTATCGAAGGGAGGGCTCTCCACGCCCCCCTCCTCAATGGGTATGGGCACTCCGAGGTCAGAACGAGCCGCCCCCGTAGCCTCCCCCACCGTAACCTCCTCTGTACGGTCCACTGTTACTGCGGCCCCCCCAGTTGCCGCCCCCTCCTCCACCTCCTCCGCCGCTCTTCATGGGGCCGTAGGAGGACTGGTGCTGGCTGTAGCTGCCGAACCCGCCGTACCCGTTGCCGTAGTCGCCGCCGCCCCCTCCGCCGCCGCCTCCGTAGGACCCTCCGCCGTAGGAGCCGTACCCGCCGCCTCCTCCCCCGCCGTAGCCGCCGTAGCTGTTGTAGCCGCCGCCCCCTTTGGAGAGCCCGTTGTGATCCCGGTTACCGGAGCCGCCGCCGCCCCGGCCCCTTCCTCCTCCTCCTCTGCCTCCCCGCGAGGGTCTGGAGGAGCCGCCGCCGCCCCCGCCCGCCTGGATGTCCTCCTTGGGCACGGCCTTCTTGACCTCCACGCGGTGGCCCTGGATCGGGTGGAACTTGACCACGGCCGCCTTGTCGGCGGCGTCGTGGTTCTGGAAGTAGACGAAGCCGAAGCCGCGCTTTTTCCCGCTCTGCTTGTCGGCGATGATCTCGGCCTTCTCCACGGGGCCGAACTGGCTGAAGTGCTGCACCAGGTCCCCTTCGCCCACGTCCCCCTTGAGGCCGCCCACGAACAGCTTCTTCACCTTGGCGTGCGCGCCGGGCTTGGCCGAGTCCTCCCGGGACACGGCCCGCTTCAGCTCCACCGCGTTCCCGTCCACCGCGTGGGGGGACGCGGCCATGGCGGCGTCCGCCTCCTCCACCGCCGAGTAGGTGACGAAGCCGAAGCAGCGGGAGCGCTTGGTCTGCGGGTTGAGCACGACCACGCAGTCGGTGAGGGTGCCGTAGGCCGCGAAGTGCTCCCGCAGCCCGGCCTCCGTGGTCTGCACGTTCAGCCCGCCGATGAACAGCTTGCACAGCTGCGAGTTCTCCATGCTGCTGCCGCCGCCGCCGCTGCCGCCGCGCCTGGGCCTGGCCCCGAGACTCCTCCTCCTGTTCGGGGGCAGCAGCTCCGGAGGTTTTTTCCCCTCTTGCTCCGTCTTGCCGCCTCTTTCCCCCGCCGCGAGCAGCGCGACCTCAGGGCTGCGGCGGCCGCCGGCGGTGGTGGTGGTGGGTCCCCAGGCGCGGCGCGGCGCCTCCGCTCCCGCCTCAGCGGCCCGGCAGCGCGGTCGGGGCCTCGCCGGTGCCGCCGCTCCCGCGGAAAGGCGGGCGGGGGGTGGGGGCGAGCGCAGGGCGCGCACAAAATGGCGGCGTCGGCTTCTCGGGAGCGCGGCCGGGCCACTGGCGCCCACACAAAGGGGCCGCCGGGAGCCCCGCCCCCCGCGCCCGCCCTGCTCTCCGCCATGGCCAATGGGGGCGCACCTCCGGAGCAGCCGGCCAATCAGCCTTAAGAGGGCGGGACTATAGGCTCGACCGACGCGCCCTCAGACCAATCAGAGGGCTCAGCGCTCGTCACGGCTCCCGGGGGGTGCGCCCCTTGACGGACGGGGCTGGTGGCCAATCGGGGCGGGCGGCGCGGCCCGGCGCGCGCTCCCTGGGCGGGCGGCCCCGCCCCGCGGCGCGCGGGGGGTCGCGCGGGAGGGTTTGAACCGGGGACCGTTGGAGCCCTGAGGGGGGACCCGCCCGGCCCCGCGCGGAGCCCCCGGCGGGGAAACGGGGGAGCCCTGGAGGGATTTAGCAGAAGGGTGGATGTGGCACTTGGGGACACGGGTTGGTAGTGGCCTTGGCAGCGCCGGGCGGAACGGTGGGACTCGGTGAGCTGGGAGGGCTTTTCCAACCTAAACCATTCTGTGATTCTTTCTCACTTTTCCGGCTCCTGTTTCCTCCCCCTGTTTCCCAGTCCTCTTTCCAGCTCTATCACTGCCTCCTCATCCTTAAATCTCTGCAAAGGAGGTATTTTCTCAGAGGCATAATTAGAGTTCAAGGGTATGTGAGCCCTATGAAATTACTAATAGCAAGATCAATTTCCTTTTTTTTTTTTTCCTTTAATATTACCTTAAACACTGACAGCATGAAAACTGCAGCACTACTTTCAAACTCAGGGATGAAGCAGAGCTGCAACATCTCCCTGACAGACATGAGTTGGAAATGCTCCCTTGGAGGCTGGCAGACACAAGTGTAACACTGACTGTGCTGGAAGGTTGGTTAACCACAGCCCCAGAGGAAGTCCAGAAAGGCTGAACATGATGTCACAGGTTTAAATCCATTTATCTCAATGCATGAACGGACACAATCACTTTAGCTAGTAGAGAAGAGAACATGCTCGTAGTGTCACTGAAGTATTTGTGGTTTAAAAATAAATATATCCTACTCTATTAAATAAAAAGCTTCTTCCCAGAGGCCCTCTGCAGGCTCCACACAATTACAGGAAACAAAAAGCTATATTTTGCCTACTAGTTATTGTAAAAACTGTGTGGCCCTTGGCCAGAAAACTTTGTGTGTTTTATGTAGAAAATAATCCATGAGGGTTTTGCAGACCCGTAATGATTTACAGCAAAAAAGGAAGAAAAATTAGGAGGATCTTCTCTTGCCCTCAGTGGACAACAAAGAAAGAGAAGGCTTGTTTGCAGCTCATTTTCACTGCCTGAGAGAGACAGACAGACAAGCAGGCCAAGGAAGAGATCAAAGAAAGGAGTCGCTGCTTGCATCAGGAGGAGGACATGGGGGTCTTTAAGATGTGAGTAAATCAGTAGGAAAAACAAGTCACTAACACAACTCAAGTGCAGCCCAAATGCTTCCTTTTCATTTGCATGACTTTGATTAATGAAGGGAAAACGCCTTTTAGACAAACATTCCCATCTCTTACAGGTGAAAATGTCTCCTCTGATACTACAGAAAGGCCAAACTCCACTTGACCCGGTGTCCTCCTGTGGCCCTGGGGGTGCAGGTTTCCTAGACAGCTAAGCATCAGTTTCTTCGGAGTCTCCCAGACTTTCATACTTCCCAGGTCATCTGAGCTGTTGCAGAGACTCCAAGCGGAGTCTCCAGTTCCTGTCGGATTCCTGCCTGCTGAGGCATCCAGTCACCTGATCTGTGCAGCGAGGCACTTGTTAGACACAGTCCTGGGAACCAGGTGGGTTTCCCTGCTCCTGGAATGGGCCTTTTCCGCCATATCTTCCAACTGTTCCTAACTGTAAATGAGTAATTGCATAACCCTCTCCCATGTATTTAAAAATTCCTGGGAAAGCACCATGCAAAAGAAATATGTGCTTTTCCCCTTCTGACAGGGCAGTTGCATCATAACATCATTTCAGTTCTGATAGCAACTTGGAGAATAAAATAAAAATCATTGTATAAGCACCTGAAGTTTCTAAATTTAGGCACTTCCTCAGATAAAAGCCCCGCCTGTGTCATCCACCTAAAGGAAATGTATTTCTCAAACCAGAAGCACTGGCCAAATAATGCCTTGTGATAAATGTCACCATGGGATATTTTAATTAGAGTGTTAGAAAGAAACCACACCGTTTTCACGCATTCAACTTTTCAGTTATTCCAGTAGAAATCATACTGTCTAGAGTCCACAGGAGGGCATCACTGCTTAAGAGATCATAAACCAGACATCTGAACAGTCCCTTTCCACCACTAGGCTTCCTATGGTACTATATATTCATATTAAAAGATGATACAAAACAAGTTATGAAAGAATTCTTTATATCAGTTTTTGTCACTAAAGAAACATACTCTTGTCATGCCCTTTAATGGGTCCAAACTGCCAAGATAGGAAAAGAACAATGAAGTTTTGGAAAAGAGCAGGAGGGGCAATAGAAGAAGATTAGTCAAAAGTACCTCTTGTAAATATTTTATCTAAGCCTTCATGTAAATACAAAATCATATTCTTTTAACTTCTTTCAACATCTTTATCCAAACCATCACATGGATAAAACATCCAGCAGCACTGCAAGCTTCCCCACCCTGGCACCTTGGTTTAGCTACAGATGTGAAAACTTGTGGAAGATCTACAGCTGTCTTTGAGAGAGCTCTTGCCTTTGATAAAAAGGTTTATCTTTCACTCTGTTGAGCTGTTTTTACTTAAATCTGCATGAACATCAAACCTGTGATCTTACTTTGGAGACTCCAGTGAATTAGCAATGGTTGGGAGAGGGGTTTTTGTTGAAAAATGTTGATTAAAAAGCACTGAGAGGCAACTGGATAGTCCTTTGCCTCCCTAAAGTTTGAACATGACACTCCTCAGGATAAAAATCTCTGCCCTGTGTGAATTCGGATGGGGAATAAAACACTACCCCTCTCTTGTATCTGCTTAATGCAAAATAAGATATCTACAGATAAAAAGGTAACTACAGAATAACCCACAGGAACTATTTCTTCAGTAAGTGGTATCAAAGTTTTATCAACAGAACAAAATCTTCCCTGAGCTCTTTGTAAGGGGAATTTGCTGAAGACAGAAACACACCTTTGTGAAGGGTGAAGTGGAAAATCATTGGAGAATTGAATTTGCATCCTTTTCTTTGGACTTATATTACCATCTTTCCTTAAATCCTGCCCTCCCTCCTCTTGCCTCTGAAGTTCAATTTCTCTTTTCCTCTTTCATCTTTTCACTCTTCTGTAATAATGCTTGATTTCCTTTCTTCTCTTTCCTAAAATTTGGTATAAAAGCTGGTCATAATTTGAAGCGATAGGATGAAAGTAAGGCAGGAAAATACAGTCTGAAAAGTCAAGGTTCTTGTGAAGGATCAAAGAACATAGCAATGCCATGACAGATGTGAGAGGGGAGATCTTTCACTGTATCTTAGTCCAGGATCATAAGTTTTGCCAAGGGAAGACCTGGAGCCAGCAGCAATCTCAGCCACGCTCTGATCTTTCTCATCTGCAAATCCTTCATTATGTATTTTCCAGCTGAATTAAAATCCACTTGCCTTTTTTTTTTTTTTTCCCTTAGCTATTCCTAGACTCCATCTATTTCTCATTCCACAGAACCTCTGTAGGGTGGTTTTGTGGAGCTTTTGCATGACTGACATTTAGCTTTGTTTGAACACAGCAGGCAGAGTTGTGCCATGAAGCTCAGTAAGTACCTGCCTGGAATTAGCTGTAAGACATCCGTGCTATTCAAGAAATTTTGAAATGAGGTGGTGGGAAGTGAGCCTCCCTAGACACAAAACAGCAATCTAGAATTCATATTTTGAGTTCAGAAAATCAAAACTGCTATTAACAATTTGGAACATGCTGGAAAATTGGAACAGATTGAGATTAACAGGAAAAAACCTTTTGATTATGTAAGTATTTCTTAATTAACAATTAGGACACTGGAAGATGTTATGGCATGAGAACAGCAGGGTTTGGTGCTTGCAGTGTTGTTATAAAAAGACTGTAGAATGGGGAAAAAACAAACCAGAAATACAAATTATCATATTCCCCCCAAGTCTGTGAGCTATTGAAATAATTCATTTTTTGGCAGAGATCACTTTGGGTAAAAATCAGCTGGAGAAGTTCTAGAAAGCTACAAAGAAGTGAATCAGGGCTTGGGAAGTGGAATCCATTATAAAATATGAATTAAAACAGTCACACTCTTATTATGATTACTCACATATTTTATCTGTTTTTCAGTGATAACAGTGACTTAGCTGACCCAGAAAATCAAGATGCTAACCTTCCAGCCAGGAAGTGTATCCATCTCCATCTCTGTGTCAACTGAATAAGGTCCAGAAATCAGCCAACAGTTCATGGCATGACATAATTTTAAAAATGAATATGCCATTATAAGTAACTCATTTATAGTTAAATCAGATTTTCAAACAGTTGACTTTTCATTCTAGGCATGAGCTAATTGAGACTCAGAATTAAGAATCAGAATGAGGACGTTGCAAAGCAGTCCTCTAGAGCTATGCAGCATAATGGAGTGAAACCTAAACTCCAGGTAGTGAACATGAATGCTTTTTGTCCTAATTTTTTTTCCAGTTAGGAAAAAAAAAAATCTAAATGGTGGAGCAGTGCTCAAACTTACACATATACATCTTTGGAGAAAAAATTACAGCACATACTTAGCTGATATTCAGGTGTTGCTAGTTCGGTCACATTACAGGATATTTACTGAAGATCCCTTACCAGGGTGTTGATCTCTCCCCAAACCAGGGAAATGTGCAGGGCCTGTGTTTTTCCTCCATCACAGCACATTATCTTACTTTCCTGGCATTAACCGGCACATCCGACGCTACCACAGGAGATTTCCAATTATTGTTGTTTATTTTTCTGGGCCTCTTTGAAGTGCTATAAAGAATGGTGCTCATTGGGAGGAAATATTCCAGGAGAAAGACTTGGGGGTGTTGGTTGACCAGAAGCTCAACAGGAGCTGGGAATGTGTGTCTGCAGCCCAGAGAGCCAAACGTGTCCTGGGGGTGTTCATCCTGCAGGAGAGAAGGCTCAGGGGAGACCTCAGAGCCCCTTCCAGTGCCTAAAGGAGCTCTAGGAGAGCTGGAGAGGGACTGGGGACAAGTCCCTGCAGTGACAGGATAAGGGAATGGCTTCAGACTTCCCAGAGGGAAGGGTTAGATGGGATATTGGGAAGGAATTCTTCCTCGTGAGGGTGGGCAGGCCCTGGCACAGGTTGCCCAGAGAAGCTGTGGCTTCCCCATCCCTGGAAGTGTCCAAGGCCAGGTTGGACGGGGCTTGGAGCAACCTGGGCTGGTGGAAGGTGTCCCTGCCCATGGCAGGGAAGGGAACTGGATGATCTTTAAGGTCCCTTCCAACCCTTAACACTCTGTGATTCTGTCACCCTTCAAGGATGTCACAGGTCACTGAACCAGCTCTTGGCTGATCTGCTGTTAAAGAACTCTTTCCCCTGGGAAGCTGAGAACTTGCACATCTGTACTAAATCTTGCTTTCTGAAGAAGGGGCCACACCGGGTAGGAACAAGCACTTCTGCACAGCTACATGGGAGAAGCAACTAAGCAACAGCAAAAGCTTAGAGTGATCAACCATCAGCAAAGATTCCCTCTGGGCAAGGGATCATGTAAATGCCAAAGCAAAAGGTGAACTCGAAGGACTGAGACGCTAGAGAATTTTTCACCAACGCGTTGTTGTCAACGCAACAGAAGTTACTACAAACTTAGACTTTAAAAACCTATTATAGCACTTCACCCATCACTTAGTACTGAGCAATTTAGAACAACATGATCATTGATGAAAAGCAAACACAATTCTGGTAGCCATTAACCTTTTTTTTGCAAACAGACGCTCCAGCATTTGACTGAAAACAATGCACCACGATCCCTCCTCCACAGCTACAGGTCCCACTCAGCACACTTACCTTTGACATCAGGCTTGAACACACCAGCAGCAGCTACACCCATGAGCCTCTGATGCTGGATGTGATCTAACTCACAACAGGTGTCAGCACAATTAAATCCACACATGGCAGCAGGTTGATGGGACTGTAAACCCCAGGGGTCCCACGTGAAACGCTCCAGCTTTTCCACAGAGGAAGGACCGCGTAGAGCTATATTAGAAACAGAGGTGTATGTAAATAAGCAAACTGACCTTTGAAATTCTTAAATAGAATCAGAACATCTTTTAATTTTGTTGACTTATTCCCTTTACAAACACATAATGCGTTTTTATGGCTTGTTCTGATGCCTGCCTGGCACGCTGCATGTTCTAGTCCTGATTCACTTCCTTGGGCTACAGTACAACGAGAAGCAGAATTTCTGAAGTACTTTGGCAAAGCTTTGTTTTTATAGTATTTTTGACATAATCAAAACCAGCAAGTTCTAGAAATGCTTTAGAAAAGTGTATTCACGTTGCTTGATTGTAGCATTTTTGGTAAAAATGTCAGAATTGCCAGAGCACACCTAGAATAAAAAGCAATAGGCTAAAGGGAAGGAAATTTTAGGGAGAGGTGTTAAGGAGTCTTCCTAACACTAAATTAGGCCCTTGAGTACCTAACGTAGGATTATTACAGGTGGTTAAAAAACAGGCTGGACAAACACACCATGAATAGATAGAAATAGATGAGAAGCAGGAGGTTTGCCTGGGTGATCACACAGGTTCCCTCCACCCCACCCCTAGTGTCTGCAAATACAGCAGCATGACAACCAACAATATTTTCAGGTAATTAGTTCCAAACTGCAGTTTCATGAGTATTGCTCATCCCAACCCTCCTCCTACTACTTTTCAAAAATCATTCTCTCAAAAAAAAAACCAGATTGAGGTATTAGGGGTTAAGTGGAGCCAGGTACAAATTCAAGAGTTTATTCAGCAACTTACCAGAGAGCACATCCTAAGAAAAACAGTTCCTTTCCCATCCCACAAATGTCCACTCTAAATATTTAATAGGGAAATGCTGAATTGAATGCTAATATTTGTAAATAAGTGACTACAAAATGTATGGACTTTTACTGGAAAAAATAATAAAAATAAAGCCCCTTTTCACCGTGTGCTAATGCAATGTGTCACACCTTGCTTTTCAGGAATATTTTTATATCTGTGGAGTATAAGCTAAAATATCAATTTAAAGTGAAAATCTGATTATCTTAATTGCAATAAAGCCAATGACACACCTAATAGGGTGTGCACGCTCTTTCCAAGCAGGCTAATGTACAATCATATCAGTTAAGAAAGCAATATGCCATCTGCAGATATTTATATATGAAATCCAACATAGGGAAAACATTTATACTACAGAACAGATTAAATAATTGAAAATGAAATTGCAAGATAAGGTGTTTGACAAGGTGGAGGGAAACTGCTCGGTGGAGGAAAATCCATCCCCATGACTACTGGTCCTTCCTCCTCCCTGCTCACTGCTGCTCATCTCTCCTTGGATTCCAGAGCTTGTTTTATTCCTCAGCAGCCTCCCTGCAGCCTGGTGGATTCAGTGCACTTGGAAACTGGGGGATCTGTGGTTTGTTTCAGGAAGACAAGAAGGGAGAGTTTAAGTATCACTTTAGCAGCAGATGGCTTTGCTCTGGATTCTGTTACACACAAAGAAGATGGTTTTGCTGGCTCTGTAAGCACAAAAAGGGAAGAGGAAAATTGTTAAAGGCAGAGTGGATATGACTTGAATTTTTCAGCAGGTAAGAAGTCAGAAAATCTGTATAACTCTGGCAAAAGTTACTGAAATATATCTTTTAAAGCGTTCTGTTATTTTGTACCTCCTATATTTAAAATTGAATGGGAAATGTCCTCCACATGTTGTCTGTGCAATACTTTGGAACTTAATAAACAATGTTTGTAATTGAAACATTTACTGGGCACCTTGAAGGGATGGGACTATTCATCTTCATCACAGGTAAGAAAATACTTAGGAAAGAAAGCCTTTTTAAAACTCACTTTATTTTAGACCTTTCTTTTGCTTAGGAACATTTCAGTAATGTTTCTGCAGAGAGAGGAATGAAACAACTAGGCTGAGGGGTTTCTAACAGCTTCTAGTGTTAAACTCTCACTGTGGTAGAGAATCTTTTTCAAAATGCATGAATTAGAGGTTGAAGTAATTAGTTCTTTCTATTAAACACTTCAATTCTGACATCAGTTGTAGCTGTGGTCCAAGGACACTGATTCCACTAAATTTTTTAGCTTTAAAAATGCCAGTGTTTATTACAATATTGTTCAACATTCAGTAAGTATTAGAGTAACTTATTTTTTTAATGCTGTGAATACTCCAGTTGTTTAACAAGACAGGTGTAGTGGTTTTATTGCCAAGGAAATGTTTAAATTGCCTTGCAGAATGGCAGGTACTAAAGGCTGTACTTTTTAACTCCCAGCACAAACCAAACAGTGAAAAGAAATTACACTTTTTCCTGAGAAAAGGACAGTGTAGATGGAGAGTGTGCCTAAAACTGAAGTAGTGAGTGAACTCATTAGGTCAGTACAGGGACTGTTCCCAAATGCCAGGGAAGCCCTACCAGCCACTCTGAATTCTCGGGAGAGGACATTCAGCACTTGCTATCAAACTGTGTGGTGCAACCATGGATAAATAAGCAAGCTTAGCAAATAGTGCATAAAATATTACCAACTTGGCTCAGCCTCATGGCCTTTGAGCTCCCACAGCTTCTCCTGCTCACATAAAAAGCAGGGAAGAGCAGAGGTTGCCTTTGAAGGGATCTGCTGCCAGGCCAGCTCCCCTGCTGACACCTGACCTCTTCCCAAGGGCCAGGGCTCAGGTCTGTGCCAGGTGACCACCACAGGCACTGCAAAGGGAAGGATCAGTCTGGGATCAGCAGCCAGACTTTAGACCCTCAACCTCTCCAGGGGCAGCAAAGCTCATCGGGGCAACAACTGCCACTGTTGGTGGTAAATGGACCATTTACTGCCTCTTGCTCTCCCAGCACACTCATCCTTCAGGGGGACAAATCCAGCCAGGCAATCAGTGCTGCTCCAGGGAAAAGTGGTTTGCAGTGAATTCCAGGGAAGAGGTGCTGTTGCCCAGTCACTGAGGGTGACTGTGCTCGATCCACAGCCCCTGTCCTTGCTCCTGGACTCATTAGGAGAAGAGTTTTTGGAGGCTGGAACACACACAGTGGGGTACCCAGCTCTTGTTCTTGCCCTGCTGGAGTAGGGACACCTGCAAGGGACTACAAAATCTATCTGAGCCACCAGACTGTGAATGGCTTTTGCAGACTGACTGTGCAGGTTTCCATGCCAGGTGCATTATTTAGGGAGATTACAGGGCTTAATGCCAGCCCTGACCACAAATTAAGTAATAATTGGGACATCAGGGCCACATAGAGTCACAAAAATCCACAGCCTCTTCCCACTCCAACATGAGCATGCTGGTTGAAAGGGGTATTTTAATTAGAATGAGAGTGGTCATAGATGCTCCAAAGGGGGTTGTGTTGTCTTTTATCTGTTGTTTTGTTTTGATTTTTTTTTTTTTTTAGAATCTTAATTTGAAGCATCCAAACTTAATGTCAAGTAGAAGTATCAGGACAAAGCAGTCCAGGATATAATTCTGGCTGGAATATTCTTTGAGTGTCTGGGGGCAAGCAGTTACAGAATCATCATTCCCATTTTAACCCTGGATTTGGTGTTTAATCTCATGCAAGCAACACATTTTTTTTTATTCCTTAGTGATTAGATAATGGCTATAATTCCTATGAAAAGGTTGACAAATCTTCTACACATAAGCAGATTATTTCTAGTAATAATAAAACATCTACCCAATCTTTCTTCTTTTTGTGCACCCTCTTTTACTTCCCACTGCTCCTTCATTCTCCTGTCTCCACAGGATCTCAGCACTATTACTAGGGGTGAAGAACCATCTCCTTCCAGCCAGTTTTCCAATAACTTCAAAAAAAGAATTAAGGTGAGTTAAAGTTGAGGTTTGGAAGGTATATGTGTAGAACATGCTTATTTTAAAAGTTACTCATTTCATCCTTTTTGTTTTCTTTTCCAGGTTGGAAATAACCCCTTTCTGGCCAGAGAGCTGGTGAGCCTTTAATTTAAGATTTAACTTTTTCACTTGGTGATACATTCAACCCCATCAAGATATTCTGCTGAACCTAATTCTTCCCAGTAATATTAGTTTTATAACAGAACTGTGCTAAAATCAGATTTTTTTGCTTGACTCCTGTTTAAGTTGGAGCTGAAAGAAGAATCAACTCTGTGTCTCTTGGGTACATGCTGCAAAAAAATTTAAGGGCATCATTTGTCAAGCTTGTACAACAGTGAACAGTGTGTAGGGAAATGAAACAACCCTTGGTAACTCCTGACAGAGAAATGACTTCGTGTACAACTACGATGTGATCTGTGTTTGGTCTACATTTTTCTCAAGTTAGATTGAGGAAAAAGGCCGTGCTTCCTTCAGTGCATCAGCAGAACAGGAAACTGCCTCAAAAATATCATTCCTAGAGGTGTTGTATACCACCTGAGCCCAAGCACACATAATTTTGATCAGTTCAGGAGGATTTGGTGTATTAGCTCACACTGCTTTGTAGGTTTGAAGACAATATAAGTGTGATGTCTAAGCTAGCAATGTGGTGGCAGGACCCAGCTCTTCTTTCCTGATTATACAAAAGCAACTAATTATCCTCACCGGAATTCACTGACCTTGCTAAATCTTCAGCGGAGACAGACCTTAAAATATTTGATTCTGAAAAGCAAACTTTATCCACAGTTGGTAGAAGAGGATTTGTATGAAAATGCCCACACAAGTTTAACCAGAGCTGCTGTCACTGCTGTTTCTTGTACACCACAGTCCCAGGTCTCTGTCAGAGCAGAACCTCAGAAAGCTGACATCCACCTCCATCCACAGGTAATTATAACCCCACTAATAACCACTCACTTTGCCAGTACTGTGATTAATCACATTAGATTTGCTCAAAACCTGAAGGACACCGACTGGAGTAACAGACCCACAGTAATCACTGCTTTGAAAAGCTCCATGCCAAGTATATTCTAAATAACACGAGGTTTTGTCCATAGGTTGGGAGATGCTTCATGATGGATAAAGCCATTCAGCACCCCAGTGAGATCCTGCCCAACCAATCTGTCTCCAACTTTAGCTTTTCTCAGTTTCTGAACTTTGACACATGCCAGCTTTCCTTCCTTGCAGAGTTCTTGCTTATTACAGCTTACACCTTAGTTTTACTAGTGGGGCTTTTTGGGAATCTTTGCTTGATTATTGTAATAAAGAGGAGGAAAGAAGCTCAAAATGTTACCAACATTTTGATCGCCAACCTCTCTTTATCAGATGTCTTGATCTGTATCATGTGCATCCCTGTCACGGTTGCATACACCTTAATGGACCACTGGATATTTGGGGAAGCAATGTGTAAAATGGGTTCTTTCATACAAAGTTTATCTGTCACGGTCTCCATTTTCTCCCTTGTGCTCATTGCTGTTGAGAGGTATCAGTTAATTGTGAACCCACGTGGCTGGAAGCCCAACATTTCACACGCTTACTGGGGAATTCTTTTCATCTGGGGGCTCTCCCTCGTAATATCCCTTCCTTTTTTAATATTTCACCAGTTGACAGATGAGCCCTTCAAACACCTGTCTTTCCACAGTGATTTCTACAAGAACAAGGTGGCTTGCATCGAAGCGTGGCCCTCTCTCACAGAGAGGCTGATTTTCACCACCAGCCTGCTGGTTTTCCAGTACTGCTTCCCCCTGGGGTTTATTTTCATCTGCTACCTCAGGATATTTGTGTGTCTTCGAAGGAGACGCTTTAAGATAGACAGGATGAGGGAGAACGAGAGCAGGCTGGGTGAAAACAAAAGGATTAACATGATGCTGGTGTCAATTGTTGTGACTTTTGCAGCTTGCTGGTTGCCTCTCAATATATTCAACGTGGTTTTTGACTGGAACTACGAGGCACTGATGAGCTGCAATCACAACCTGGCATTTACCATCTGCCACCTCGTGGCCATGGTCTCAACATGTATCAACCCCATCTTCTATGGATTTCTGAACAGGAACTTTCAGAAGGATTTGATAGTATTAGCTCACCACTGCACATGCTCAGCATCCCAGGAGGAATATGAGAATATTGCCCTTTCAAATCTGCAGACTGATGCATCTAAGGGGTCTCTGAAATTAAATAATCCCCGTGTGGATATATAAAACAATCCAACAGCAGCTTCCAAAATTTTGTGTTTTGTTGCAGGTGGCCTCTTTCTGTAGGTCTTGGTCACGTTACCACCAAGTTTAGAGGGAGTTTTTGCCATTTAGTTCAGCAAAACCAGGATTATGCTCCCACAGGCATACTCTTAACAGGTCCTTAATGATAGTATTAATGCTAATAAACCACTTCCAAGAGTCAGAAAGATCAATAATAAGGAATTATAAACAGTATTAACATCTTACTTTTTTAATCCACAGTTTCAAAGTGACTGGCATCCAACCTTGGCTCCAAAAAATCATTTCCATTTCAACCACTGATGGGATGTCCTCCCTAAACCCCAGCTTCCAAGTAAACCCTGAACACTGGGGTGTTCCTGACTTCAGCATCCTTTCTCATAGTTCTCTGGCCTTTTGATTTTCCTACCCTACACTGATCCCAGCCCTGATTACAGGTCCTTGAACTTATCCTAAGCCTCCACCATCTTCCTTTCAACCCCAGCATGCAGCTTATTTTGGTTTGGTACCAGTCCAGCCCAGAAATTGTATTTTAACAAGGGGAAAGGTTGGAGTTGGAATTCTTTTTTTTTTTTTTTTTTTTTTTTTTTATGAGCACTAAAACAGTTGAAAAGTTGATTTGCTGCAAAGATGTCTTCACTCAGATTGTTCTTGCTGTTCAAGATGAAATACATATTTAGCATTTCTCCTAAAAGCATTGCATTCTCCAAACCACCAGTACACATCATTGCTTTTGCTCTTACCATCACCACTGGTCCCTACAACAGACCTTTTAGAATCTCCATTATCAAACAAACACACTATGAATTCAGAGTATATTTTGCTTTAGCTACTTACCCAGAGCTCTCTTTGAGCAGATAATTGGGTTTGCATTTTCACTGCAGCAATATCTTTCTCCACATTTGTGCACTAGCACAAGGGCACACTTGAGCAGATGTGGTCATTTCTGTCCAGCTGTGTTTGAAAACAGTTTCTTTTGTAGCACAGTGCATAGAAACCTAAAGGTGTAATGCTGAACACAGCTTTTTTCAGACTAAAACATTTTAAAAAACACTTTCCAGTGTAGGATGAAAAAAATAACCAGACTTAATTGTCATCCATGATACAGTTTATATTGGGCTATTTAAATACAATACTTAAAACACTTTAGTCCATCAACTCACCTTGCTTCCTCTTGTTCAATATAATTAATTACTTGTATTGCTAAAGAATCCTTTCTTCTTTTCTTTGGAGTTTTTTAAAACCCTTAACACTTGCACATAAAATTCCTTGCAACGTGTTCCCTGACTTTAGCAATTTACCAATGCCCCACTTAAAAAAATTAACATCTATATTACAACGAGCTCCTTGCTGATTCAGCTGTGATGAACTTACCCTCAGGCCATAAAATTCTCTGGGAGAGGGACCATCATTTTCCGCAGTCAAGCAGTTCTTAAAGGATTCCTTCAGGCCACAGTCCTCTTGCTCCAGCACTCGTTCAGACTGGCTGCATCACTCTGCTCATCAGAGGAGCCTCAGGAGCTCTTGCAGATGCTCTGGGTTGTCAAGTGCTCCCTGATTCACCCTGAGCAAAAAGACCTTGCTGAACTCCATCAGTGCCCGAGCCCACTGCAGTCACCAGGGCAGCCCTGCTCACAGGGGCGAGAAAGGCAGAATTAGCAACACAGTAATCAAGAGTGACAGCTACGGAGTAGTTTTGGCATCATTTAGTATTTTTTTTCTAATTAGATCCCTTATCACACCTGTGCACTGGAGTGCATAAACCAGAACTTCAACACCTGCCTTGTGCATCATAGAAAAGAAACCAGGAGACAGATAAATGCCTTATAAAGGCCAGTGATCACACTGATGAGAGTACCTTGGTGTTAATTAGTTCCATTGACTCCACCCCTCGGTCACTGGGCTCCCTCTGTTGCTGGTTCACACTGTCTGCTTGTTTAGCAAATGGGTGTTTAAGTTAAAAGCAGCAACTTGCAATCGATAACCACCCTGAGCACGGCCCAAGGGGCTGGTGTGTGCCTTGGTGAAGGACAGGTGCTGGTGCTGGAGACTCCAGGGTAATAAGGAGAGTCACTACTTTCATTGCACTTGCTTAAATGAGAGCAAATCTGATTCAGGAACTTCACTTTTCTTGGAGATTCCAGTGCCCATACAGATAGTCACCTAATACTGCCAGAAGTATTCATTCACTGAACAGATCATTTTAACAAATCCTGGTGGCATTCCTGGGCTATCAGCTGGGTTTCCCTGAGTTTGGAATGCAGATCTCTGTCACTGTCTTCCTCATATTTAAGTAGTTTACAGCTTCAGGGCCCATGCTGAAAGCAATTTGCGAGCACAGGACATTCAGAGTTTAATTTATTAATATTAGCACAACAGTTCATATTACTCTCAGTGCTCTCAGAAGCATCTCAGAGAATATTTGGTGTTTGAATCAGGCTCAGCTGAGATTCCCATGTGTGAACTTGGCCTAAGTGGCTCCCATGCCAGCATTCCCATCCCTCAGGCACACCCAAGTGTGCTTAGTTTAACAGCAAAGGTGGGTTTAGTATCACGTCTCAAGTGGTTTAAATACAGCCCCAAAATTAACGCTGGTTTAAATTATGTGATGCTGATGGACGGTCTCCCTTCACTGTCTCTCCCTAGAAGTGCTTGGGCAGTGCATTAGACAGGTACAAAAAAGATTGCCATCGCTTTTTGTGACACCCACGGTCTGCTCACGACATCCTGATCAGACTCAAGCAATCAATTTTTCCCTTCCAGTCTGAATCTTGGCACAAGAGGGTTCTTCATTAGCAGGTGGGAGCATTCTGAGCAGTGACTTCCTCGGAATCAAACATGAACAATCACACTTGTGCCTTGATTTCTTCTTCTCATTTCTTCCTGACACTTTCATTTGACTCAAGTGCTGATGCTCCATTTCTGTCCTGAGCATTCAGTTATCAAGTATCTCTTCCTGATGCTGCACTTACAAAAATCATCGTTAACTGAACAGAGGATCATCACGGTATTGAAGGCTCTCAGTACATCCAGTGGCTTCATGTGCATCCTGATGCTGAATTTCCAGGCAAGTCAGTAGCAGTGAACTGACTTTGACAGGAATAGGACATAGCAAGTAGACAAAATTCTAACAGGCTTTCTCACCAGAGAGTTGTGACTTGATCACAGAATCATGGAATGTTCTGAGTTGGAAGAGACACACAAGGATCATCAAGTCCCGGCTGGAGGACTGTGAGCTTCCTCAGGGGAGCAGCAACACGGATTTAATTATTGAAAACTAGAGGGAGAACCTGAACTCCCAAATGGTATCCCAATGTACAAACAAACTCTTGGGTTGTTTGGTGTTTTTTTTTTTTTAAACTCCATCAGAGCTTTGTTCACGTGGTCCAGTTGTGCAGACCAGACTAATATAATTATAAACAACCTTGTAAATGGACATACCCTTACCTGTCTGTGTATTTTATGGTTGATTGGTTTAACTGTGAGCACATATAACTAGGCTGAGGTACTTGGGAACTGGCATTCATTGTGAAAATGATTCTGTTGAGCAGAGAGATCGATTGATTATTGACTGTAATTCTGTCTGTGGGCAAAGGCAGTACCAGTGCTGTGTGTGATTTAAAGACTTTGATTGCTCCCATCAACTGACAAATAAACATTGCCCTGTGTAAAGCTGCCACTGTGCCCAGCTGGTAAATTGTGCTGTCTGTAACGGGGGAAGGACAGTTCTCACGTCCCCAAAGGCCAAGAATCACCAAGAGGTCAAAGAAAAATGCAAAGCCTGCTGCAGATGGAAAGGGTGGGCACAGAGCAGACAAGACAGGGCTGAAGGGCACAAAGGCACTCGGGAGGGGACTTGACCAGAGCACAGATGGAGGGGAGGACACAGAGCCTGCTCTGGGGAAGAGGAGTGACCTGCAGAGATGCCCTGGCACCCCCAGAGGGGTACAAATTACACCCCAGAGATACCACTGTGCCAAGGTGACCCTCTAAAGCATCAGCATGAGCCAAGAGGAGAGGAATAAAAGACACAAAGAAAAATTAAAAAGCAACAGGATATGTGACAAATGAGGAAAAAAAAATTTAAAATGGCCAGCTTGATGAAAGGAGAGAGAAAATTTGAAAGCTGAGGGGTACAAGGTAGAGGAGAAAAAAAAATGAAATTAGGGAGAGAAAAATAGACAAAAGTAGATATGGAAAAACAATTCAAAATGAGAGGAGAGCAAATCTATAGCAAAGCTTTGAGAAACCTCACAATGAAGGGTCAGATGGACAGCAGATGTACTTAGTGGAACCTCATAGACTCCATAAACACAAAACTGTCCTTTCAATTCTATGCTAATAAGACACTTAGAAATATTCCACAGTGGCAACCTTAGAATTATCTTGTCTGGTGTCACTCATTTTTAAACAAGGTTCCTTTGGTTTCCATGCAAATGCACTGACTGATGCCTTTTATTTTATTTCATTTCATTTCATAGGCTTCTCCATTAGTCACAGGCTATTTACATAATGTGATGGAATTGGCACCTGTGTGGAGCTGTTCTCTGAGCAGAATTCACCCTCAGACCCAGTGAGGAAAACTGGTTAATTTGTGCAGATGTCAGGGCTGTAACAGCTCCATGAATCAGTTCTTCCAACCAGGAATGGCTACGAGAGTCACAGGAAGCTCTCCAAGTTTGGGTTCCCACTAAAGAGAATCTCTCAACCCCCCTGGCCAGCTCCATTTTTAGGCTGGAGGCTTCTGCAGGGCTTAATTCCAAATTCCACGAAGCCAGAGCTTCATGGCCCAGAGTTCCCAGGCACTCCTGCAGTGACTCTGCACAGCCTCCACCTCCACAGGCTCCCAGGGCACCCTTCCACTTCCCAACACATCCAAGTCTCTCCCACCCTCAATACAGGCCAACAGATTTTCCTATTAACAAGCCACAAAAACACTGCTTTTGGGGCTAAAATCACTTGGATGGTATAGTTGTGTCAGATAATTCCATGCTTTAATTTCTACCTCAAAGCCATCTCAGGATTTGCCATCATGACAACCACTAAAAGCCATCCCATGACTGTAGTCTGACCATATTCCCGTATTTCCTCAAGTAGTTGGCCAGTGGAAACTGCTTAATCTTCATCAGTATATTGGTTTTTGGGGTGGTGTTTGTGTTTTGTTTGCTTTTCATATAAGTGCAATGACTCTTCTTACACATGAGATGTAAACCTAGGCAAGAATTAAATTCAAGAAGTTTTGTATAGATCACAAGAAGAAGGGAGATCCCAGAACAGCCTCTCCAAGCCAGCTGTTCCATTCTCCTGGAATTTCCTCAACAAAACTATCTAGCTGTCCTCCCCTTTTACACAACTGCAAGGACCTGACAGCAACTGCAGCCTCGCAGTCCTTACCCATTGCCATCGCCTCTCGGGCAGATTCCACTGCTAAATGAGCTCTCTTTGGCTGCAGGATCAATGGCAAACAGCGTGGATTTTGGGAAGAGGCTTGACTCTGAAGTGGCAGGGAAGGAGCTGGACAGAACAGAGCCGAGAGAAGCTCAGTGGAGCTCAGACCCTGGAAGAGACTTGGGACAACTCTGCAAAAAAATGGAGAGACAGGTTACAAGTCTCAGAGCAGATTGTAACAGCATGTAAACATTCATCTATGTTTAACTCAACACACCATCAGCCAACTGGGCTGTCAGAGAAAAAATTGTATTTGAGCATCGTGTCTTCACAGGACACTTTCACAGAGACCAAAAGGCACAGGAACCATTTAATATTTAACTTGCACAGGAGGGAAATTCACACGGACACTGCAAAGAGCAGGAGGAGCCTGGGCCACTGCAGTGCTCCAGCTGTGCCGCAGGACGGGCTCTTCACATCCTCATGGGTGGCTCAAAGTTTATTCTCTTTTGAGGAGCTCCAAAGCAAAGGTCAGAGGGACCTCGCCACACCCACAGGGTAAACCTTTAGGAGGATAATTAGTCAGCAAATAATCTCTTCTAAGATATCCAAGCCACTATTTCACTATTTGTAAAGAATATCCTTATCAGTCGACCCAGCAAGGCTGTCAGCATGGCATGATACCCCATCCAGCACTCACTTTTGTGCATTTCAGGTGCCTTTAAGTCTCTTATTACTTCCAGCTCTTTATTCCCAGACCCTTCTGACTGTGTGAGCAGGTTAAGTTCTCACTTACACCAAATGCAATGTGCACTCCTGCCCTGCACAGAAATCAGACTAAGTGATCCAAGAGAGCCAAATCTCCATCACCCCCAACCTTTGAGTGCTGCAGAACCTGCCAAAGAGGGTCGGGTACGAGGGCATAACCGTCTTTTGAGGTGCTCTTTATTAACTCAAACCAGCTCAAATTTTGCCCTGTGTTTAGGCCTGCCAACAAAACCATCGTCACACTGCACTGAATCATCAGCTGGAGTGAGGGAAGTCCCGTGATGACGAGATTGCTGGTTTCTAATTAAAGATGAACTTGTGAGACTCCTTTAAAAGTTGGCCACAGGGTTAGCATTGAATCCAAAAGCAAAATCCGAGTTGACTGAAAGGTCAGCAAACCCAGGGAGATAATTACTGCTTGATGTTCCAGGAAACCCAAGCCCTGACACTGAGTTTAAAAAAAGGAAAAAAAATGCCTTTGATGAACGATAACAAAAACTTTCTTTCTTCCCGTCTCCATCATGCAAACAGATCAGGCAGGGAGATACTGAGGGCATTATGCAAGAAAATTGTGGGAGTCCAAGTATCCTGTTGAACCTCACATCTCTATTCACTGAAATATGCAAAAAAAAAAAAATCAAATATTTCAAGGGAAAAGTAAATTTTTTTGGTGTTAGTATAATTTGATTACCTGACTAATCAATTTTCAGAGTTGATTAGCTTTTGCTTTGAGCCCTTGCCTCTTTCTAAAGGAAAATATACAGTGTACTAAGATTTTAGGAGTCCTCAAGTCGTGTGAAAAGGCTGAGGTGAGTGTTGAAAT